CAGGATTAAAATCAACAGGTGAATCATCGTTTTACAAGATCGATAAATAGAATGAAAAGATTTGTGTTTCATTTTCACTCTTTCTTCATTAAGTAATTCATTCACCCTTTAAAAATGTGAAGGAGGATTACCCGAGTATACCATTTCAATACTCTATGATTATAGATTTTCTTCATTTTTAATTTTTTTGATGATTTTCAATATTTACCAATATTACCAAAAACCTGGATTTTTAATCTAAAAGATCTAATTGGTTCCTCCACCTAAACATATCAATGATCGGAAATCGCAAAACCACTTTTTTTTTAAAAAAAGATTAGGTTTATTCCATTATTTATACATTAAAAAAGTTATCTTGAATCATGGGACATCGCAAATGTTTAATCATGTGGATCATATGTTGCATGAAAACTCTTATCTTGAGAAAAAAACGAAATCTAGAATTTATGCTGACCTGATAAACAAAAAAATATATATCGTGTTACGGGATTAACCAAATATTTTTTTCATATCGGAACTCAACATCCGAATATATTAGATTGAAAAAGAAAAAATAATTAGGTTCGAAACATCTCGGTAAAAAAAGACCGATTGTAAGAAAACCGGTTCTTTTATTATCCTTTCATTAAAATTCTTCAACATCATCTGAAATTCAAAAAAAAAAGAATAAAAAAAGGTCTTTTCTTTCCTGTAAATTTATGTATAATGCATGACAAATGTTAAAATTCAGGTATTTGTTTTTTGTGTTATTTAAACATTCGATGAATGATAACCACGTTAGATTACGTATTAAACCTTAAATTCCAACTACATAATATTTTCGAAATTCAAGTTTCACAGCAAGACCCTGTTGCACGGACACCGCATTTATGCATGTGATTTATTTGATTTTCCATTAGACATTAAAATTAATATAATGTGCACATGGATGGACATGCTTATCGAATAGAACGATTCATCTTTTTTTTTTTTGACGTTCAGATTTTACACATCCCATCCAAGGAATTTCGGATTGCCGGCCAAATCTTTTTTTTTTTAAAAAGAAAAAAAAAATTTTTTCAGTTCCGAAATTATTTTTCATCGAGAAAATTTGAATAATAAAACCAATCAAAATTTAGTAAATTTTTAATTATTCCAATCACGTTATTTTTTTTTAAGATTTCTTGGCCAAAAAGAAAGACTTAACAATTACATAATTAGAAAAATTTAAATTTTAAAATGTTCCGAATGAATGGAAGTTGAACAATGAACTTCTATTTCCAGTTTCCATCATCATATACTTCAACTTATTAGTCCACTTAATGTACAAAATTTTTTTAAAAAAGAACAATGATTCCCTCAATCTTTCCCGATATTAAATTAAATCAGACACATCAACTTCTCTCTACCAATTATCCCACACCTTGAAGGAAAAAAAAAGGAAATTCGAAATCAACTTTGGATTCTTGAGAATCTAAAAAGAATTTCAACGTATTAGGTTTTTAAAAAATTATAATTTTTAAAATACTTTTTCTCATGATAAACTTACGACTTGTTACCCATAAAGAACAATAATAAAGATTTAAATAAAAGTTTTTTTTGGGGGGGTGAACCTTTGGTCATTTTAAAACAAATAATAATTTATTTAATATGTATGATGAAAATAAATTTGTTTTTTTAATCCTTTTATTTTTTTTTTATTGTTTTTTTTTTTAGAAAAAAAAAAAAGTGAAAAAAATTAGTAATGTTTATAACTTAAAAATCATCATTCTCCAACATTTTATATATAATCTTACCAAAGAGAAGAAAAAAAATTCACGATATTAGTTAAAATCTACCAAACACGTTCTGAATGTTCAGCATTAACACTAAAGATAGTATCTTTTTGACTCTTGTGGGGCAGGAAGGGCCCGCACAATCGTCGCAAGGATGGCGGGAACAAGAACCACCAAGATGAAGCTTGAGAATTACTGTTTTTGGGTGGTGAAGAAAAACTGTCTAAATTTGTGATTTCATGGAATTTATAATTTTTTTTTTTCTGTCGTTTTTTTTATGGAACCTTTTTTTTCATTCTCATTTTTTTCTAAGCCTGCGCCTCATTATTTTCATTAGAAGCCTCAATAACCCAGTAAATGATTTAAATTGAACTTTTTTTTTTATATTACCCCTTATCAAAAGAGCTGGCTTGTAAGTTCCAAATTGGGACGTTGATTTGTTTGATTCTATTTGGCTGAGACTTGGTGATACGATAACAAGAAAAACAAACGTCTTGATTTGGTCCCGATCAACTTTATTATTTGGGCTTACCTTGACTTGAAAGAAAGAAATATAAAATGGAATAAATAAAATTAGATTGAGGCTTTGAAAGATTTTCGAAGGCTGTGGAAAGAAAAACCCAACAGATCATTCCACGTTTATTTTTTTTATGAGGATTTTTTTTTTTTAGATTTATTGGCTGAGATATAATATAATCAAGATTCATGCTATTTATGGCTTAGTCAATGGCTGAGACGATTCATTAAATGGAAACCGAATAATTATTTTTTTTCTTTTTAGAAGAATTCAAGGTTGTTCTTAAAGGCTTATGAAAAAAAAAAAAATTATTTTTTTTTTTTTTTTTTTTTTTTTGCTGAATTAAATAAACCCTTTGGCTGGTAAATTGTCGTCGAAACATGGCTAGGATGGGGCGTGACAAGGCTGGTGTAATATGGCTGAGATCTTTTTTTTTTTTTTAAAGAAAATAAGGAAATCAAATTTTTTTTTTTTTTTTTTGAGGCTTGGTATGATCGTTCTTACATATAATAAATCAAAAGGGAAAAAAATAAATAAATAAACAATAAATGAAACGTGATTGCAAATCTATCACAAAAATTGCAAGGGGGGTTTCAGGGCTTGGAAGTCGTGGCGGAGTCGAGAGAAAAAAAAAAAAAAAAGCGAGAAAAAGGATCTAAATTTCACCAAAAAAAAAAAAAGGTCTGTTCCGTTTAATGTAACCGACGTTGGTAAACTTCTGAAAGTTGTCAACAAATAAATCAAGTTCGGTTCATATCGAACCTTCACTCCTCATAATGCAATCCGTTAGACGGCTATTTACTTTAACACTCAAAGCCGCTTATGTAAAAGAAAAAAGGCTTAGTCGGTCAGGTTGTAATTGGACATCGCTGTTATGTCATTTCCGAAGCAAAAACCTCAAAAAGCGATTCAGGAGGTGAATAATTGAAAAATTAATTAAGCGAAACGAGGCTTAGTAACAATGAAATTGATATTCATCGTCTCACGACGTTCTAAACGAGTTTCATACAAATCAATTTTTTTTAAAAAATATGCCCGTGAAGAATTCGCTCAGCCCGGTATGACAAGCCATCAAATGATGCGCGTCAAACCAATTCAAAGCCAATCGAATATTTAAAATCTCCCGTGAACAAAAAAGAATGCGCGTTTTCTACATTCATTTCTTTTTTTTCGTGGTTAAGGTTTGGTGGCTTTAAAGTTTTTCTTTCCTCAATTGCGTGATCGACAATCTTTAAGTGAGGCGCTGTTATGAATGAATGTCTTAAAATGGTTTATTCAATACGTTTTAAGGTATTTCTTATTTCAGAGATCACGCTTGAATTTACAATCTTTATATGGAAAAAAATAAAAAAATCTCACGCAAAATCGGTGCAATGATTAGATCCAATAATTAATAATCTTATGCTTGATCAAAGAAAAGTAAAGAAAAAAAAATAAAAATTCGGGAAACTTATTCCTCAAACGGGTTTGCATGTAGAGATTCACTTGTGAATTTATCAAACATCAAAACTAATTAAGGGATAAACTAATAATTATTTATCCGAAGTCTTCCCGTTTCTACGGAAAAAAAATTTGTGAATTTCTGCGCCTCAGATGCAGTATATATATTATATTTATTTATTATTATTATGATTATGATTATGATTATTGAGCTTTCATTTTCTTTTTTTCATAAGCATAGCCAACTTTTTTTTACAAACGATCAAAAAAAAATAAATTTTTGATCAACATAATTAATAAATCGAAGATACTTCAAGTCCCTTTCATTCCAGCAAGATTATATATTTTTCAACTGGAAATGGTAATATTTTTGAAATGAATGGGTTTCGGTAATTGTCAAAGCTCATGTTAGGATTATCAATTATCAATTTTTTTAAATGCTTCGGTCCAATTAATGGTTTGAAAAAATTGAATTTTTTAAGATAAATTACTTTCTCGATGGGTGCTGTAAAAATTTCATAATTACAATTATTTATTTTGATTTATTTATGATAACTTCAAATTCAACCTCACCTCAATTGAACCAAATCTCGAATTCAAATCGAGTCTAGCATTAATTGTATTTATTCTGAAAAATATTCACATCTGAAGTTTATTCATATTTACGAAAGAAATTTCTCTGGAAAAAGTTCCAGCCTTTGATCGATTGATTTGATTTATATAAACAGTTTTTACTGATGGTTTTAAAGATAAAAAGCAATTATTTATTCGCTGATTTTCACGGAGAATTTTTATTTTGGAAAACGTCCAGAATTGTCGGCACATTTTTGTAATTGATCGCGGCACTTTGCTAATTCCCAAGTAAATTTGGGACAAATCCAAACAAAATCCAAAAAAAAAAAAAGGAATCCTCGGAAATAGTGAAAATGTATGGCGGTACATACCAGAAAAAAAACTCGATTCCATTATTCCCTTTGGGAAAAGTATGAAAAGTAATTTTGTTCAATCAAATCTTTATCATTTTCTTAAACATTTTTTAGAATGTGCTTCTCCTCAAGGTGGATTTCATAATTTAAATTATCATTCTATTCCGGCATTACTTGTTCGAAATTTTTCTGAAATCAATAAATTCATTTATGAAAAATTGTTCTTTGTAGGATGCACGTGTTGTATCACATGACATAATATAAAATCACGCGTAAATTCCAATCTGATTCGCGTACTTATTAACATATTTAGGAAATTGATTCAACAACTTGTTTCCTCTTCAAAAAGGTTCTCTGTTTGTCATGACCGAAGGTCATTGGACTTCCGTAACGAACTCTCGACATGGAAATTCTCATAATAATTCATCACTTGGGACTCGAGGAGGAAGAACAAGGCTAGCATATAAAACAAACGTTCATAATGGAAATTCGACTCACCCTTCCAATAAAGTTACTAATAAAAGTTCTCGATATGATAAAAATAACGCAAATTATAACGCATATAATTTTCCACCAAATGTTGATTATGAACAAGAACTTGATTTATCACATGACGAAAATGAAAATTATTCTTCCGATGATTCTTTGGGACAAGGAATTTTATCATTAAAACCTTTTTATATCGAACTGTCAATCAAATGTCCTTTTGAAAATTGTCGGAATGAATCGTTGTTCGATAGTACAAATCTCATCGATCATTTAAAAGAATTACATAAATTACGTTTCGTTAATTTACATCATGTTTATTTAATTCTTGAAAGTTACCTGGACATTTGGGCAAAAAGAATTAAAGATGATGACGTTGTTCAACAATTAGAAACCGAAATTGATAATGAGGGTATACCATGTTGTATATAAATATAATTTTTCCAAAATTTTTTTTTTCCTCTTAAAGTTTTTTTTTCACCCTTTTATTAGGCAATAAAGTGTACGTAATCGACCCAGATCATTTGCCGGAGGATAAGACTCTACGAGAAAAACTTCATCTTGATAAATTGGTATTTATTTAATTCAATCACTCTTTTTAATTGGGGATCTTAATTAATTTAAATTTACATTTGCATTTATAGAATGAAGTTTTACAAATTCAAGCATATGAACGAAATAATGATGCTAAATCAGGACGAAAATGCTTATTTTGTAAAAATATTTGTGAAAACAGGTAAATTCTTGTTTCTTTTTTGATGTGCTCTTTTTGATTTGTAAGTGGTTTATCTAATCCATGTTTTGATCATTAGGGCGATATTGTTTCGTCATATGTTTACGGAACATAACTTCAATATAGGATTGCCAGATAACCTTGTAAATGTCAACAAATTTTTAACAATTTTAGAAGATAAATTAAACGGGTACGATGATGTTTCATCTTTTATTACTTCATTAAAAGAATATTTCATAAATAATTAACAAGCTTTTTTTTTATATTCATTAAAGTCTTCAATGTTTATACTGTGAAAAAATCTTTACTACACCAGCGGTTTTACGTAAGCATATGCGTAAAAAGAAACATTTTAAAATTAATGCGAGAAATAAGATATATGACAAATTTTATGTTATAAATTATTTGGAACCTGGAAAGAATTGGGAGACATTTGAAAATGAACGTTATGAATCTGACGAGGAACCTTACAGAGACGAGTAAGTTGATTATTTAAACTGTATCTTTAATTCTTTTTGTTAATCTTCATATAACATAAATAACTCATTATTTATAAAGTCCGTGGGATGATTGGAATGATGAAGAATATCAACAAACCAAATGTCTTTATTGTACAAATGTTTCATCAACCACAAAAGAATGTTTAAACCATATGATTTCGATACACAAGTTTGATTTATGGGAAATTAAAAATAACATGGGTATAACAATTTTAAAAGATGTCTAATTGATATTGATTTGTCCTTTTAATTTATTTTAATTGATTTTTCTTTTTAGGACTAGATTTCTACCAAACGATAATTTTAATTAATTACCTTCGTTATAAAGTTAAAAATCATACTTGTATGGCTTGTTCAACAACGTATGAAAATTCAAATGATTTGTTAGACCATATGAATGATGAAAATTGTTTTACCAAAGTTCCATCGTTGAACAATGATTTCTGGAAAGATCCAAAGTAATCATCTCATTATTATTGATTTCTTAATACTCCAAAAATAATTTCTGATTTTTTTTTTTAGATATCTGTTACCAGTTTTACAAGATGATCTATTGTTAGTTGGATTTGAAGATGGCGATGATGAGGATAAAGATGATGATTTACCATTACATATACCTGATAATGCTATTGTTGTACCTGAAGAACCTCCCGAATTGTTAGAAGAACAATTTCAACATATATTGAAGATTAAATAAAAGGATTTAATATTAATATAGCAATCATGTGGATTTTTGATTGAAAGTTATTGATTATTTGTTCCTAATTCTAGTAAAAATAATGTTGGCAATAAATGCAACTTTTGTAAAGGGATTAAGTAGGAATAAATTTTACTTGAACTAATAATAAACTTAAATTATACTACTTTTAAGTTTTGAAGGTATCATAAATACATTATAATTTCTTTAAGATTTTTTATTTCATGATACTCATACAAAATCTAGTAGCATACTTATCTAAAAGTTTTATACCAAATTAATCATGAATCTATAGATTCATCCTGACTTGACTTTTTTGATTGTTTCAGCTCCTTTACTATGATCTTTGCATCTTCTTTTGACTAAGAAAAGTGTTTAATAACATGATTATACAACATATTATTTGATAAATGAATATTTAAAAACAAGGAATAAAGGCATACCGATCCTCCAAATCCAGATAAAATATCAGCATGCTTCATGCATTCTTCTGTTTCGCCTTTCTCCTTATGATAAGAAGCTAGATATTTATGTCCGTCTTTTCTTTCGTCCGCATCCTCATGTAACTACAAATTGTATAGCCCGGTAAGGCATCATCTCAATAAATCTTTCTCACATAAAGAACTTACATCATCTCGATCTAATAAACGAAGCCAAATGGCAGCGGCCTTTTCGGGATCGTAATCCTCATATAGTTTAGCCAATTTTGTCATAGCCTGAATGGTATTATTATCATCGATATCTTTTGATTCAAGCGCTCTACTAAATCCTTTAATGGCTTCCACATATAAACATTGTTGTTCATAAAGCGCCGCCAATCTTAACCACATTCTAGCATCATACGGTCTATTACGAAAATAAAACTTAATTTAATATCAAAAAATTATTAAAACGAACATAGTAAATCTTACATCGTACCTTAATGCCGATGAACGCTGATAGTAATAAATTGCATAGAATGACATATTCAATAACTCATATATTTGTCCAAGTCCACACCACGCTCTATAATCTTTTGGATTTACTTCTAATAAATGAAATATAAAAAGATGGTTTGATTTATTAAAAAAATTGAAAGAGATATTTAAGGATAAAAAAGGAATTTATGAATTTCAAATTACCTACTGCTCTTTTATATGAAATTATGGCAGCGTGAGTATTTTTGATTTCCACATATTCATGTCCCATTAACGTCCACGCTGATAAGCAGGTTTGGTCGATCTGTAAAGCCCTTCTGAAATATGAAATTGCCTTCTCCCGTTCTCCTTTGGAACTATAATAATTCCCTAAAAAAAAAAAAAAAAAGAAAAAAAGAAATCAGATTTACATTTATCAAAAAACAACAAAAATTTCTAATTCACAGCACTATGATTTACCTAAAGCACACATAGTTTCGGGGCGAAATTTATCCGAAAACACGCACATATGAGCTAAAATACTTAATTTTGCACTTTTCTCATTGACTACATACAAAACATTCGAATATATATCCATATCATCTATTCTATATGGATCAGATTTAAGTAATCTATCAAATGCTATTTCAGAACAATCATAATCTAAAACGTATTAAGGGTGATTACGTTAGAAAAAAAAAGGCAAACTCGTAAACAAGATCTTTAAAAAGTGTTACAATATAAATACCCCGATTATTATAATACATTGTGGCTTGTTTTGTTTGTAAGAATCTATTATTTACATATTCCGGTGGAAATTCCGCAACGATATCAGTAAATGCTTGTGGAAGATCTTGTAATTCGACCGACATGTGAAGTTTGAAAAACAATGACATAAAAGTATTTGGTAATCGGTTTAGTACATCTCTTAACTATAAGGATTAGAAGAAGGAAATCACATTAAAGAATGTATACAAAATAAAAGTTATAACTTAATTTCAAAAGGAGAAACCATCATACCATATCTTTATTGTTGATGCATTCACCTAACTCAACCCAAGCACTCCAATTATAATAATAATTCTGTACTGATTCCAGAAATAAATCCTTAAGATTCTTGTCTTGGGGATATAATTGTTTGCGCATAACTGCATATCTTGAATAAAGATAATTAATTAAGATAAAAGAAATTATAAATTCATGTACTTATAAAAGCGAAATTCAATCTCACATGTAAAGCAGAAAACCATCATTCATTTCACGAGAATCACGCCAAGATTCCATTTCTTCCATTAGTTTAGGTATCTCCTTGTTAAAAGTCTTTAAATCATTCATTGGACCCATAATATCATGACTTTCTTCATCCTTTCGTTTTTCTCCAGCCTAAAATTAATAAATAAATAAATAAATAATTTATCGGGACTCGTTAATAACCGATTTCAAAACCAACCATTGACTTACCAAATATTTTGAATATATTCTTAAAAATCTACATTTTGGAGAATTACATGATTCAAGAAAGTAGGCAGCTCTATCGAATTCCTTAACATCAAAATAACTTTTGCTCAAAAGATATTTATCATATTCGGCTGGATCAAGATTCGTTAAATCTTTATCAAGGGTGGATGATAAAGTATAAATATTCTCTTGTATACTAGAATCTAATGATATATCCATTTCTGAAGTATCAACAGGTTGATCAGGTAATCCTTCTAATGTTTCAGCTATCCTGAAATTGAATAATTAAGTAAAAAAAAAAAAAAAAAAAAAAAAAGTATAATAAAAACGAAAGGAAATGAATGAAATTATTTAAAAGTACCATTTAGTAGAAAAATAAAGACCTCGCTCAGAACATTGTACAGCGGCTTCACGTAAAACTTTTTTCATTTCATTTACGGGAAAAAACTCATAGCAAGAAGGTTTTAAACCAGTTTTAAGGCTCATTTTTGATAGGGGATAACTTAATTCAGTATGAAGAATAGGAAGTGCAAGCGTGTAGGAAAAAAACGTCGTCGAAATTTTTATAACATTTCACGTGACACAAATCACATCATATTAATTTTTAATTTTAATTTTTGTATTCACTGCACATCATTATATGAGCGATTAAACATGTTTAATAATAATTCGTTTCGTTATCTTTACAAGTTCTTTCATATAAAACCTTACCAAAAGTGCATTATAAGAAAGAGTGAAATATTACCTGCCGTCCCAAGGTACAACATTTACTTCTACTGGCTTCGACACCACAATTATTTTTTTTTCATATCAATAAGAAGTGCAAGTCAAATTCTTCAAATTCAAATTCCATGTGTAGCAAATACAAAAATCCGAACATTTTTTAAGAAATAATTAATATACACACGCAAAAGTACCAGATCATTTTTTATAAAGTAATCCACTTGATAAAATATCTCAAATTTGAATTGTAAGTTAATTAAATACACTAAATGAAATGAAATATTACGCGTTTCTAAACCCATTCGAGTTGACCTGTTGCAATTAGTCCAGTAAATGTCATTCGTGAAAATGGACCAATTTAGGAACCTGACTAAAGACAAAATTCTTGAAATTGGTCATGTAATTTTTACGTCCTATAACGATAATATTAAGCAAAAATCTATGCTAGGAGTTTTACCGTAGAAACACTTATTTTTCTCGACACTCCTTACAACCCGTCTCCTTTTCGCCCATTTCTTTTAGAGTTACTAATACTTTTGATTCGACGCACTCCATAAGTTTCCGTTACCAGGTAAGCTGGATAGCTTCTGCTTAAGGTCTACTGGAGAGGAATCGTTAAGTATCTTCCGAAGTAAAAAATTCATGTTGGTTATCGATAGCAGTATTTTGTTGTTCTGCATGCTAAGCCGACGTGATGACCGCTAACTTTGATAAAAGTACAAGCCCACTAAGTTTTTCTTCATGTTGACGTCATTTTTTGAAGTATGAAATAATTAAATATCCTCTTAAATAAGGAACAAACCATTCAAAGTGACCGGAACCTGGCTATAAGAATGAATGAATTCATATTACTGGTGTTTTTATGACTATTTTATGGAATAATTTAGATAGGGAAATATTCTTGATCAAACAGGACCCCGGAAACTTCTAAAGTAAGTCATAGGTGAAAAATTTTTTGTAAGGGTCATAATTTAAGAATGTATCAAAATGCCAGCTTTTTGGTCAATGTCAGGGGTTGAAATTGCATAATTTAGGCTATTTTTAGTTAGGTCAATGTTTCGATTTGCGTCATTTACTCTAATTTTAGGTCTCAATTTCATATATCACGTGACTCGATAATGCATATATTATGACGCGTGTGTGAAAACTTTAAAAATAAAGTTGGAAACTCGTTTCTTTTACTAACTAGACTAACTAGAAATGGGTTGGAAATATACGTTAGAACGTTTAAAGAAAAACCCAAACGTTGCACATGTTCATAATAGTATCATAATTGAGTGTATTTGTGGAAAACAAATAGTTTTAAACAGAGTTTGACGAAACAAACTTGACAAGACATGTGAAAATGGTTGCAATTTGAAAAATAAGCAGCCTGGAATTACCAATTTTTTTAAATATACTAGCAACTTAAATAGCTCCTTTAGGTCTGATGAATTTGATGAACCTATTGAGGTGCCTGTAAAAAGGAAACCTTGTCAAGTTTATCAGGTGGAAAGTATCAACAATATATTGAACAAACTCCAGTAGAAGTTGAAAGAACGTGATGATGCAAAGTTATTGCTAAAGACTTATTTCTGATATCATCTAAATTTAATTTTAACCATTTGTTTAAAGATCAAAAATTGGAATTCAACCGGCAGCTTTGTGCAGAAGCAAAATAGATAATTGATCAGATTGTTAAATATGTT